CGAGAACTGTACGAGTCGAGAACTTGCTATACCGTAGCGAAACACGGCAAGAAAAACTATCAACAGATAGCACGGGAGCGCGATGTCCCTCGTGACACCTCGGTCGGTGCCCCGGGACAGACTGCTTTGACAAAATATCCAAATTCGATAACTAATAATTCTGATCATCTGATTGGTCGAGAGCCTTATAACCAATAACCCTTCTATCTCCTTCCAGTCGTCCCTTTAAACCAAATCGAGAGCATTTCTTAACGAATCGGTACGTAACTTTTGGAGATCCTCCACGCGGCCGCTTCCCCAGGACATCGGGCGACAGCTGGGCACCACATCCTTAACTCGGGCAGGAGGTTCCTCCCCTGCCCTTAACCGTATCACAACTATCTCCGCCCGCTCTGCAGCCCTTTGCCCATCTCCAGCGGGGCGCCGGTGTTTCACCCGGGCTTCTGCCGGTCCGTGGAGACGTCTCCGTCGGGTCGTCTCCTCTGCCGGGTAACTCGGTGCGTCGAGACTATCTCCCCACGGCAGATTCGAGCACCTCGACCTCAACTAAACCATAACGAAATCTTACGAGAGCCTTGACATAACTATACGAATGAACCCGAGAGCGTAGCTTCTGAGCAGGCTGGCGACCCGAAGGGAACCAGAAATCGAGAACGTTATCTGTATCGGTAACCGGAGCCGCCTTGGGACACCGTGATTCGAAAAATCACGTCACAACACTTATCCATTCAGATCTCGCGATTGGCGTTATAATTTTATTCTTGGATTCGGGGTTTATATGCATCTCGCGAGAGGCATTATTTTCCAGATCCCCGGAAACACCTGGTGGCTTCCGTCCCTTATCGCGATGCTCGGCGATAGCTACCCTTGAGATTTTCATTGTAAAAAGTTGAAACGATAAAACTTCCCTAACGACAGAATTCGCTAGACGAAAACACCGAACTTTCCTTTATCTCGCGAAACTCCTTGACGCTTCCGTCTTTACGATCGAAAAATTATAGCGGAAGGGTCAATTGGCTGCGTATCGAGGGATCACTGAATTTTGTGATGAAGTCATAAAAAAAGAAGTATTTATTACATAAGAATATGTACCTTGTAAAAAAGTTGTTTTTACCGACGAACTCACATCTTGAAGCCAACGAACCGTTTTTTAGTTTCCTTACAACCCCTTCGTGCCATGGGGGTTGGCACACGGCTCGTGGCTGGCCAGCGAATAATTCATGAGGGTGGATTTTAAGATGGGGAAAAAGAAAATCAATGACGGTTTGTCTAGGCAGTAACGTAAGATACACAAGGGTAGCACTGTAGCAGCAAGGGTAGGAACATAAGGCGCTCAAGTAATCCCAGCCCTGTCCGAGGGATGCCCAGATTGTTCAGACTGTTTAGACTCGAGCGGACTGACCAGACGGAGAAACCGCAGCGGCTTTAGACTTCCCCATGCGATGCATTAGGTTAATGGAAAGGGTCAGGTTACAGGGAGGCTCGAGGTGAACCCTCTTGCGAGTAAGGCAGCCCCCTTTGGTGCCAGTTGCAATTTCACACCAGTCTCAACAAAACAAAGGTTTTACACCTGCACCTAAGACCTAACAGGGTCTTATGGGATTTGTTGGTTCAGGGTGAAAAGTTGAAAATTCTTTAAAGCAAATAAAATTCTTAAAGGAACTTCGAGGCTTACTTACACGAAGGTAAAATCGTAAAATTTAAGGTCTGTCGTGATAGCTGGGATTCTGAGGACCACGGACTAAGGTTTGTATACGAGCAGGTGCGTCGATATTGATTATTGATTCCCCATAAATTTCTTGGTATATCCTTCTGACTGATGGCCCATGGCAAGCACAGAGTCCGTTGGGAATACTTTTCCAAAGATGCATCCGGTACAGAAGGAAGTCCAATGTCGTGAAGCAATAGGAGAAAAAAATCCGGAAGAAAGTCTTAAATCAATTCCAAGTGAATAACTTTATAGAAGAATCATCAGGCCAGTGAGGAATTACGAGTACTCTCTTTAATTCGAGCATCCCGACGCCAAAGGACGCTCATAATTGAACCCGGAAATAGAGCCGGTGGCTTTTGGCTCAGATCTTGGCCAACGAGGATTCCCTTTAATATCTCTAGTGGAAATACCTACTCCATCCCAATAGGGAATTCCCATTAACGTACCAGGTACGATTCTCGATAGAAATTCCCTAGTATTTCACTAGGAGTCAAGAGGATTGACCACGTCTCACGTGTATACATATAAGTAACGCTTATCCAGCCAGCAACGTCTAGGAATAATATCAAGCAAGAATATTGCTCGGTAAAAAATTGTTTTCTTTTTTCTGTTTCCAGGTAAAATAAAAGAAAGGACGAACAATGCACCGCGAATCCCCGGAATAGTCTCGTTCTGTTGTTCTCCATATTTCCCGTATAGTCCTGCATATTCTGACACATCAAAGTGGTGGGGGTGCCGCCCCCCCCCCCCCCC